CCCCCCGTGCCACCTGTCCCCAAGGCAGCAAGGGGCCGGTGCCAGCAGGAGGGCTCACTGCCCAGCTGCCCCTTTAAGCCAATCCCAGCAGTGTTCGCTTTCTTCCCAGGAAAATGAGCTTCTAATTGCAGCATGGGGGGGGTCCCGGGGGCTGCATCGGCTGCCGGCTGTGCCAGCCCAGTGCCAGACTGCATCCAGCGATGGCCGGCGTGCAGGTCCCCGTTCTGCTGTCCCTTCATCCTTGTCCTCTCTGCTCCACACTCACTGGCCGTGTCTTGCAGGTGGCTCTTCGCATCCGACCCATGAGTGTGGCTGAACTGCAGAGGGGTGCCAGGCCCATTGCCCACCGCCTGGATGAGCAGGTACAGCTGTGGGATGGGGATCCAAGGCAGGGGACAGAGGGATCAGGTACACTGGACAAGGTGGGATCCTCGGTGTATTTTGGACGTGCCTGGGTGCACCTGGTGCTGCATGCGATGCACACACGTGTGATGTGTGCACTAAACAGGATGGGGTGCACCTGCAGCCTTACATTCCCTGCAGAGATCCTACAATAACAAAGCAGCAGGATGGGAGTCCAGCAAGGATTTACTGGGTCAGGAGAAGCCCTTCCTGCAGGGCTGTAGGACCCCTCTCTCCATCCCCAACTCAGGTTACAGGGGAGGCCTGGAGGCTGTGTGAGGAGGGAGAGTTGGGCAGCCATGAGACTGGCTTTGCCACAAAGGTTGAAATCTGCATTGCACTGAGAGACACCAGGGATGCTGGCAGTTGCAATGGGGTCGGCACTGGGCCCCCTCTGTCCTAGCATCACCCACAAGCAGGGGTCTGGAGTTGGTGCAGGGTTACAAACAGCATCCCTAGAGTGTGACTGCATTGCAAACCAGCTGGAGGTGTGCAGCTGCGGGCACCTTGCTGGGCTGTACTCATATTGGTGCTTTTGTGCCAGCAGGCAGTGGAGAAGCCGGCTGGGCAGGTCCCCTTGGCACTGTACACAAAGCAGCTTTGAGCCCCAGCTGCTGCCGGGGGACAATGGGACGATACAGGAACATAAAGGGCCCTGGCCTGGAGGGAACACTGGCAAAAGGGAAGCTGGAGGTGACCCCAGGAGCATGGGGGTGACAGGTGCCCTAGGCAGCCCCATTTGTGTCCGCCAACAGGTTGTGGTGCTGCGAGACCCCATGCAGAACTCTGATAACGTCCTGCATGCCAGCCGCTCCCGGGAGAAATCCTATGTCTTTGACGCAGCTTTTGACTCCACATCCACCCAGGTGGGTCCATGGGATGGGCAGGGTGTGGGGACTTGGGGTAGGAGCATGGTGTGGGACAGCCAACTGGCATGGAGGCACTGGGATGTGCCCTGGGACATTCACCCCCTCACAGGAGACCGTGTACCGTGCCACCACCAGAGGCCTCATTGCGAGCGTCATCTCCGGCTGCAATGCCACCATCTTTGCCTATGGCCCCACCGGTGAGGGGCTCAGGGACGGGCCCAATATGGCAGGGGCTGCAGAGAGAGTCCCAGCCCCAGATGAGCCATCCCCTCTCCCCTAGGCTGCGGGAAGACCTACACCATGCTCGGCACCAACAGCGAGCCTGGCATCTGTGCCCGCGCCCTGGGTGACCTCTTCCATGCCATCAAGGAGTGCAGCAGTGATGCAGAGCATGAGGTCTCCATGTCCTACCTAGAGGTGCATGGGAAAGCTGGCATGTTCCATCTCCAGGGCAGGCAGGGAGCAGCGAGTGGCACACAGCCGGGGTGTCGCTGTGCTGCAGGGCCGTGTCCCCTATGGGTGCCCATGCCACGTGGGATGTTCCCAGCTCCCCCCTTTGATCTACAATGGAGATCTCCCCCCAGATCTACAATGAGGTGATTCGGGACCTGCTGAGCCCCTCACCACACTCCCTGCAGCTGCGGGAGGATTCCCATGGCACCGTCCGAGTGGTCGGCATCACCGAGCTGTCAGCCAGCAGCACCGAGGAGGTGGGACAGGGGATGTCTGTGGGGCAGCGGGGAGCGGAGAGCCCCTTACCCAGCACAGCCTGTCCTCTCCAGGTCCTACGGCTGCTGCTGAGGGGGAATCAGCAGCGGACACAAGAGCCCACAGCTGCCAACCACACGTCGTCACGCTCCCACGCCGTGCTGCAGGTCACCGTGCGGGGACGGGGACTGCGCTGCGGGCGGCTCCAACTGATCGACCTGGCAGGCTCCGAGCGGGCGGCTTGGGTACGGCATGCACCCCTGGGAAACCCCTGGCCCCTTTTTATTGCTACCACATTTTTTGCCTTCACTTTACTGCCCAGACACGGAACCGTGGGCAGAGGATGAAGGAGGGAGCGCACATCAACAGATCACTGCTGGCTCTGGGCAACTGCATCAAGGCGCTGAGCAAGCCGGCGGGCAGCGCGCACGTCAACTACCGTGACAGCAAGCTGACCCGACTGCTGAAGGTGCGATGGTGTCGGGGGGCACGGGCTGCTCCCCCCGCCCCACTCAGCTGTGTGCTTTGCTGCCCAGGACTCGCTTGGGGGTAACAGCCACACGGTGATGATCGCCCACATCAGCCCTGCCAGCACTGCCTTTGAGGAGTCCCGCAGCACGCTCACCTATGCCCAGCGCGCCAAAAGCATCCGCCCCACGGTGGGACCGGGAGGGTGGACAGCATCCCGCCTCCTGCCAGCACCCTCCTGTCCCCTCCTTGTGCAGCTCTGGTCCCCAGCAGGGAGGGCATAAGAGCCGGTCCCTGCTGCACAGCCATACAGTGCTCAGGGACCAGGGCTGGGGATGTGCTGTGCTGCAGCAGTGAGATGCTCACACTGTGCCCATTTCAGGTGAAGCACAACCTGCTCAGCAGCTCACCCCATGGCAGAATTGTGGCCAACCTGCGTGGGGACATCCAGCACCTCAAGCACCAGCTGTACACCGCACCAGGGCCAGGTAAGCACCGTGCCATCCACTGCACCGAGGGTATGCCTGACCCCACTGTGCTGCCTCAGAGCTGCAGGGCTTGGTGCTGACACCCATATTCCCAGCCCAGGTCCAGCTGCAGGACAAGCTGCTCAATGCCTGCCATGAGCAGGCGGCCCTGTGCCAGCACCTGGTTCAGCTGGAGGGCACAGCACTGCACACCCGGCTGGCAGCTGCCCGGCACCTCCGCATACTCACTCGGTATGTGGGTGCAGGTGGGGTCCCCAGTGAGCTAGGCTGTGTCACTGAGATCCCAAAATGCCTCCTCCAGCTGGAAGAGGAGAGCATGGCGCTGGGGCAAGGAGGGGCAAGGGAAGCCAGGAGGGCCCAGTGAGAGCAGGAGGAACACGGACACGGATGTGCCAGAACCAGCCAGCGTGATCGCAGCACGGGAGAGCTTCATGGCACTGGTGGAGAAGCAGGGCAGACTCCAGGAGCAGAAGGTACGGGAGCCCCACATGCAGCATCCACAGCTCAACCCCACATCTGCAGGGAGCTGAGCTTGAGGAGTCCCTGCCTAGCAGCACCACTCACCCCAGAGCACTGGGGTGCATGCAGAGGGCAAAGGGCCAGGCAGGTTGGTGGCCCTCTAGCAGGGATGCTGACCCCTGGGAAGGGGGATGACGCCGGGATGTGCCCACAGGCAGAGCTGGAGCGGCGCTTCCAGCAGAGCCAGCAGCACACCCGGCGGCTGGAGGAGGCTGTGCAGCGCAGGAGCAGCTCTGTGCAGCAGCAGGAGCTGCTGGCCCTGCTGTGCCGCCTGCACCAGCTGCAGCTGCACAACGCAGAGCTGCGCTCCCACTCCCTGCTCCAGGGTGGCTTCAGGCACTTCCCAGCCACTGCTGTGCAACCCTTCAACCAGCACCGGGCTCCCCGCGCCGCAGAGGTGAGCACAGCACACCCACAGGACCAGGCTCAGGCGAGTGGCTGTGCTGCGGTGACGGAGCCGCCTCGCCGTGGAGGAGACATTGAGCAGCGCCAAAATCACCGTGGGCACGGCCAAGCTGTGTCAGTCCTGCGTGCCACCTGCCCCCAAACTGAGGCATGTTGCCAGCAGGGACAGCCTGGAGGGAACAGCCACCCTCCTGGGGGCCGTGCAGCCCGACCCCTCCCCACGCGCCTGACTGTGAGCGTGCAAAAAGCTGGAGGAGAGGGAAGAGCCGCTGGATGCCAAAAGGAGAAAGAAGCAGCTGCTGCCCTTCGAGGTCGCCAACCACAGGGTAGGTGGCAGCAGCACCGCACCCTGATGAGCGCACCAGGAGACACGTTGCTGTCCATCTCCCCCGCTGCAGGCAGGGCCAGCACCCACTGCTCAGCTGCGTCGTGGCGATCGGCCCAAGGACCTCCAGCAAGGACTGATGGAACCCCCAGTGCTGAGCCGAGCTCCCTGCTGAAGCACAGCCATCCCCGTGCCAAGCAGTGGGCTGAGCACCCATCCTGCCCAGCTCAGCGCCTCACGTAGCCCACAGTGCCAGCCCTGCTGGGGCCGGTTGACCAAACCTCCCTGTGGGACACATGCAGCTGTGCTGGGCAGTGACTGTGCTGCTGCTCAGCACCTCTGTGGCTCAGCAGAGCGGCACAGGAGCTGAGGTTTATCCTTTTGGAGCATTAAAAGGAGGCACATGAAGACTGGGAGTGGTGTGACAGCTGATGCATCCCTGTGCCCATCCATCCCAAGGCACAGGGGATACTCAAAGATGCCCCGCGCTCCCCACACTCATTTTCTGCTTTTATTAGGAAGGAGGTGAAGGAAACCCAGGCAGGAACAAGGCGCTGTGCTCCACAAGTGTCCTCTGCTGGGGGAGGCAGCTGGACCCCCATCCCAACACACCCCAAGCTGCAGCCATGTCAGTGCAGAGGTGGCACTGCAGGGGCCGTCCCCGCGTCCCCACGCCACACGGTTGCACATTCGCTGTGCTCCCTGCAGGCACCCAGGGATGGCAGGGGGGACAGCAGGAAGAGGCAGGCAGCAGAGGAGCCCCCATCTACCTACAGAGAGGGGACAAAGAGGCAGAGCCCTATGCCCACAGCCCCACTACTTCTTCACCTTGATGAGGGAGTGGTAGACAGGCTTGATGATGATGTGCAGGTGCAGGGCGTTGTCGATGAGGTACTCAGAGGTGCGCTTCTGCAGGTCGGCATGGGCGAGGAAGTCAGCCGTCTCATCCGAGCTCTGGTGGAAGCTGTAGGCATGCTTGACAAAGATGCGGCCCTGCTGCCGCACACCCACCAGCACCGTCTTCTGGAAGCTGACACCAGCGAAGTCGGGGCTGCTGGTGGCCGGGGTGACAACGAGTCGCGGGCGGCCGTCCTCGATGCGCACCGGTTGGATGGCGCTGGACACCGAGTCCGAGTAGACGGGGCGCAGGCTGACGGGCAGCCAGCGTGGAGAGAAGAGCACGTTCCAGGTCACCCGCTTGCCGGAGTCGTGGCTGCTGGGCCCAAGCTGGGTCTGGAAGCTGGTGCTGCGGTCATCCCGTGCCGGGTTGTTGATGACCCACTGGGAGCCCCAGCTGGGTGCGAGGTAGTTGCGGGGCAGAAACATGCTGCAGTTGACGTCAAAGTACTTGGCAAAGTGCAGAGGGGATGCGGCGTGGAACTGGAAGGCCTGGAAGAGCAGGTCCTGCACCGCGCTGTAGTGCCGCACCAGCACCGCCGACTGCGTCTGCAGCCGGAACAGCTGGCTGGGCGCGATCATGGGGTAACGGATGGCACGCAGCACCCGCTCAGCCACAGCGTCCTCGGGCTGCTGCCGGGCCAGCCAGGCCTCCACAGCGGTGTAGAGCTCCAGCTCGCTGTGCAGCACCAGGTCGGAGCGCTCCAGCAGCAGCAGCAGCAGCTCCACGCTGACCGAAGCCCACTCGGCGCTGCCGAGCACAGACGACAGGTTCCAGGCCAGGAACTGCAGGCAGCTCTCCTGCAGCGCCGTGTCCCCGATGCGTGCAGCATAGTGGTACCAGCCCACCACGTGGCCCTGGCTCGACTCGCTGGCCAGGTGGCTCCTCATGTAGTCGGCCACGCCACGCTGCAGCCCCCACACCCGGTACTTGCTGGCCAGCTGGTGGAGGGGGATGGCTTGGTGCAGTAGGAGAGAAACCCCTCCACAGTACAGGTACCTGGAGTGGAGCATGGGGTGGTGACACTGCTGTTCTCTGTCTCTATTCCCAACCCACTTGTGTCCCTGAGAGCGCATCCTCCTCCCTTGGCTGCATCCTTCCCATCCCATAGGGCCCCTGAGAGGACAACCTTCCTTGGCTTCAGCCCTCCCAGCATCCCCATCCTGCAGGGTCCATGAGGGGACACCCTACCCGGTTGGCTCCATCCCTCCTGCTGCCCCCTTCCCACTGGGTCCTTGTGGAACTGAAGGGAGCATCCCTCTGGGCATCCCTTTCCCCTGGAGTTCCCACTGTCCCCATGGAACACCTCGCTCCTTGACAGCACCCCTCCCATGGGCATCCCCATCCCTTGGGCTCCCCACACACCTGATGAACTTCTCAAAGAGCGCGGCAGTTTCAGGCGGCTCATGCAGGGTGACAACACTCTGATTGCGCAGGAGCCCCTCGAAGACCTCGCTCTGGAGGCTGAGCAGCAGCTGGTGGGTGTGGAAGACCTTGGCCTCATCAGAGGCGGCCGTGCGCACCCGCAGCACCGAGTCGCTGCCGTTGCCGTTCTGCAGCAGCTCCTGCAGCCTCTGCAGCAGCGTCAGTGAGTGGTTGATGGTGGCTGCAGTGGCATCGCCGCCAAGGTCAGCTTTCTGAGCTGTGGGGAGTTGTTACTGTCCCACTGCTGTGCCCCAGCACCAGGCACAAGAGGGCAGGATTTGTGGCTAACAGGGTGCTGGGGAAGCTTTGCTTTGTGTGCATCCTCCCTTTGCTCCCCACAGTGCCAAAGGGTTGGTTGCTGCCAAGGGTATGTGGGAGGACAAGGGGACACAGGGACAGCTGTCTCTTTGGGAGCCAACAAGTTGCCTTTCTGCAGCAGGACTGAGACCACCATGTACCAAGCTGGGACGTGCTGGGAAATGGCCCTGTGCCTGGCATGCTGGCACACAGCCCGGGCTGCCAGCCTTCTCCCGTCCCCATGTGGGCAGAGCATGCCCTGAGAACTTGCCCCAGACCCCAGCTCTCCCAAGTGGGCTGACATGGTAGGTTTTGGGACTCCCTGCAGGCTGAGGTACCAGTGGCCCCACTGCAGTAGTGGGTGCTGCTAGGATGGCAGCATACTGTGCCTGCTCCCAGCGTGATCCCTGCCTCCTCCTTATGCCATGAATCCACACCTCCCATGCACAGGGAGAGTGTTGCAAGGAGCTCTGTTCCTGTGGGTACAGGGAGCCTTCCTCCTGCTCCTCGCCCTCCCACATGCTTGGCACACCTCCCGCTTCCTCCCCAGCTCATCTTGATGAATTTGGCTCCATCTCTCCAATCTGCTTCTGGCCGGCTGGCAATCCCACAGATTACCCATCCCAGTGCCGCCTTAAGCCCAGCTGAGCAGGGATCAGGAGGCAATCAGGTCCCTTGTCTCCCACAGTGCCCACAGTGCCGAGCCCTGCGCTGGGCAGCCGGACCTCCCCGAGGGGCACAGCACACCCAGGAGCCACATCCAACCCCCCCCCACAGCACAAGGTCTGCCGGAGAGCCACACTCAGCCCTAAATCACCGCCACGGCACAAAGAGTTGGAGGACCCAGGGACCCCTCCATGCCTCCCCCCACCACCGCTGCCCTTACCAGCCTGCACAGTGAGGAGGAGGAGGAGGAAAGCGGTGGCAGCGCAGCCCCAGCGGCGGGCAGCTAGGGGCCGGGTGCCCGTCAGCCTCGCCATCGTTTCGCATCTGCCGGGGCGCGCGGTGCCCGACGGGCGCTTATGTAGGCCACGAGCCCCCCCAGCCTGCACCGCCACATCGATTGGTGGAAACTGGGACCCGCCGTTACCAAGGGAACGGCTTCCAGCCCCGATCCATCCCACCCCGGCCCCCAGCCCCACATCCCAGGGCGTCGTGCTCCAGCGAGCCTCGAGCATAATGTGGGATCATTGCCGCTCACCGCCGTCGGACGGCGCCGGTCCCGTGCGCAGCCACAGCTCTTTGTGCTGCGGGGACGCACTGGGGCTTTTGCATTCAAGGCACAGTGCGTGCAGCCTCCCGGCTCCCCCAGCTCATGGGTATTCATGGAGGCGGCAGCCCTCGCCCTCCCATCACCATGGCATCGGGCTGCCGGCAGGAACTGCCTGCCCTTTTCCCAGCCTTTGCAGCCAAGACACTGCGTGCGCTGCACGAGTGCCCGGTGCCTGCCCTCTTTGGCCCCTCGCCCACCCCGACGGCTCGTGCAGGGCTTTGCAATGGCACGGGGCACCAGAAATGAGATGAAGATGGGCATGGGGGTGGGGGTGGGATGGTGAGGATAGAATGAGATAGGAATGGGATTTCAGTCCGTCTGCGAGGCACCTGGGTCACCCCTCCAGGAGACACCACCGAACGATGCTGTGACCTTCAGCGTGTGGCAGTGGCTCGGGCTGGAGCCACACAGGGGAATATTAGCCAGTTCCCTGTTATCGAGTAGCTGTCTGAGCTGATGGGATTAGTGCTGGCGTCGGCGTTATTGCAGCTTTGGTGTTAAGCTGCTAAGTGAAGCGCAAACTCAACGAGGCTGCCGAGCATTTCACGCTCGCTCCCCGCTCCGCTGCTGGCAGCGCGGCACCCGGCAGCTCAGTGCAAGAAGGATGCTGTGAGCACAAGGAGTGCATGGGCACAAAGGCCAGGAGTGCGTGCAGCAGGGCAGGATGGCTGCGGCGTTGGCCGGGACTCTCCGCAGGGTAGGGAGGCTGTAGCCAAGCAGGGGGTGCTCAGCCCATCTGCCCCTTTTGCGTCAGAGCGCCCGGCCCCGGCACGGTGCCACCACAGCCGGGGGTGTTGTCATGCCGGGGAGGGCACTTGAGGACAGGGGCCAAATCCAGAGTGTCTGGAGGAGGATGGGGATGGGGGATAAGGAGCTCGATCCTCGAGCACAGCCTGGTGCAGGGGGGTGAAGGAGGAGCGTGGGATTAAATGGGGTCTCCAGATGTTGAGTGTGGACAGATGTGGCTGCAGCTCAAGGGTAGGCCGCCCATCTGGCTCTGCTCCACTGAGGTGGGATGGAAGATGAGCTGCCCGTCAGCTGCATGCTGCTCTCCCAGCCCCCCCAGCCCCTCGTGGGGGCAGCAGGGACAGAAGGGGACAGGGGTACAGAGCACCTGGCCCCTCGGATGTGCCCAACCAGCAGCTCTGCAGCCCGGCAAGGCAGGTGACTCAAGGCACAGCACAAACAGAGCAAACAGTGTGGGTGCACTTTCCTGCTGCAACGGGGAGCGAGGGCCAGGTGGGCCAAGGGGCCCCGCAGCGGCACAGCCTGTTAATGGCTCACCACATCTGCTGCTGCCTCATTTAACCACCCGCCTGCAAAACAACAGCTTGCCTGGAGCGTGTGCCTGACGGCACTGTGCCAGCATGGCTCCGTCCTGCAGGGTCCCCCACTGTGCCCGGCCAGGAGCTGTCACCCTTCAGTTGGACACAGGGCAGGGCAACACAGGCTGCAAGGTTGAGGGATGTGGGGACCATGGGGACAGTGCTGGCAGTGTTGTGTTCAGCCCCTAAACGTCATGGGATGGAGAAGCTGCTGCACTGGCTCCGTGAACTGCAGACCTGTGCCAGGCAGCTCCTGCAAGCAGGGGACATCAGTGTCCCCACTGGCAGCTCCTACATCCCTGTGCTGCTGGGGAAACCGAGGCACAAGCAGACTTTCCCTGCAGCATGGCCTCCACACGAGGGGACTGGAGTAGTACACACATGGGCACAGACACACACGTGTGAATGCACACACACGCACATACACACTCAGATAAACCCAGACCTGGCTCAGGAGTGAGGTTGTGTCCATCTGTCCTGGAGGCAAGGAAGGAGCCTGTGCTGCAGGAGGGGCAGCAAAGTGTCAGTCCCTGTGTTCCCCTGAGCCTCCAGGTGAGCAAAATGCTGTGCACCTGCGCGGTGACACGGGAGCAGTGCTGCACCCAGAGCACCGTCCCTGTCATGGGTGGGAATGAGCTCTATCCCCGAAGCTCAGCCTCCCCAGGGGCCCCCATCCGCGGCTCGGGGGCAGCAGCGAAGCTCGGGGCCATTCCATCCCGCGGCTCTGCCCACGCCGCTCTCCCTCCGCCCCGCGTCTCCACGCACCCCAGGGGCTGTGCCATGCTGCGGCCACCAGCGGGAACAGACACGCACTGAAGGTGGCACCGCACGCCAAGAGGGTGGCACGAAAGTCACCAAGGTGAGAACCCACCGGGCACAGGAGTGGGACCTCGGGTAGAGGAGGGGAGCGAAGGACCCGGACAGGACCCCTGCCAGCAGGCACAGCGCCTTTCTGCAGAGTGAAGGGCTCAGGGCTAGGGAAGGGTTAATACGATCCTGCCGTAGCCGATCGATGCCCGTTTCCCGGGGGGCACAAAGAGACTGGGCTCGCTGATTAGCCGGATCTAATTTTCAGTTAATTAGCATCACTCTCCTCTCCCACACAGCCCCGGGGGTTGGGGGTCTGCTCGGGTCGTTGCTGGAAAAAGGGGCCAAGGCCAAGCCCCCAAGGCTCTCAGGGAGGGAAGCATGGGGACCCCCCTATTGCCCCCTCCCGGTCCAACCCCAGGCATTGCGGGGGGCTGTGGGCAGGCGCTGAGCGGGAGCCCGGGCGGAGCTTGGCGCGGGAGTCGCGATGCTCCGTTGGTCCCGAAGCCGTCGGGGTTTGGCCGAGCTCGGCAGCTGGGGGGCACTGAGGGCCTGGACCCCCTCAGTGGGCGGGGGGGCAGAGGAGAACGTACAGGGAGCTGAGCAGCGGGGGCTGAGCTGAGCCAGGGCGGTATAGAGGCCACGGAGGGACGGAATGGGGCCAGCATGAGGGGTCGGGCTGGGACACGGCCCTCCCGGTCTCAGGACCTCAAGGCTCCATGCCGCCCCCCGACCCCCGCCGCCTCCCGGGCACTAGGACCCAGCTTCCCGCGGGAAATGCTAATTTGGGACCATTCTAACCAATCACAACGCAGCGCTCGGGTGTGGCGTTCCCCCGCTCTCGGAGGAGGTCTCTCTGATTGGCCGCAGCCTCGCGCCCTCGGGCCAATAGGAGCGCGGGGCGCGGGGCGGGGGTTTGTGAATGGGGTCGGGCGCGGGGCCGCATCCCGCACGGGGCTTTGCGGGGTCACCCCTGGCACCGCCATCTCCCGGCCCCGCAGCCCCGCGGCAGCCGCCCAAGGACATCTTGTTTTAAGCCAGCTTTCTTCGAGTCGATAAAACGGGGCCAGGGGAGATAAACAACGATCACATCCGGCAGCAGAACCACGCTGATGTCCCCCGAGAGCGCCGTGTCCTACAGCTCTAAAACGCGCCATCAGGCATGGGGCGAGCTGAGCCACCCCGGTGTCCCCATGCCATGCCCCCGCCGGCGGTGCCCTCACCTCCCTGAGTCTCCCTGTGTTCCCCCGCAGCCGACGCGTGGTGGAGGGCGATGGTCCCGGTGCCCAACAGCACGGCGGTGACATGGCCGGAGCCGGAGCGGTCGCCCTGCATGGTTGGCATCTTCCCTGTTGTGTACTACAGCGTCCTGCTGGGCCTGGGGCTGCCAGGTGAGGTGCTGGGGGCTGCCAGGGTTAAAGGGGCAGAGCTGCAGCTCCCGCCTGACCCCACAGGTTTTGGGGTATGGGGTCTCTATGCTCCCCGCAGTGCCACTTACCTCAGTGTAACCCCAGCCCCATTGGTGGGTGCCACGGCAGTGGGGACAGACGGTACTTCCATTGCTGGGGCTGACACACGGAGGGGATTAATCAGCTCTGCAAATCCCCATGGCACCACGATATTTATAGTTCCCCAGCCCCCCTTGCACCCCACCAGGCGCTGTGGAGCTGAGCGTGGCACCGGGGGGCTGTGAGCCCGGGGTCTGAGTGCCCATCTGGCACCGCTCCCCTCCTTCCAGTGAACGTCCTGACAGCCGTGGCCCTGTCCCGCCTGGCCACGAGGACCAAGAAGTCATCATACTGGTACCTGCTGGCCCTCACCACGTCCGACATCCTCACCCAAGTCTTCATCATCTTCGTGGGCTTCATTCTGCAGACGGCCATCCTGGCACGGGCGGTGCCTCGCGCCTTCATCCACATTGTCAACGTTTTGGAGTTCACAGCCAACCACGCCTCCATCTGGGTCACCGTCCTGCTCACCGTGGATCGCTACGTGGCCCTGTGCCACCCGCTGCGGTACCGCGCCGTCTCCTACCCCCGCCGCACCCGAAGGATCATCGCCGCTGTCTTTGCCGTGGCTCTGGCCACTGGCATCCCCTTCTACTGGTGGCTGGACGCCTGGCGTGACGCCGACCCACCCACCGCACTGGACAGGGTGCTCAAATGGGTGCACTGCGTCACCATCTACTTCCTGCCCTGCAGCATCTTCCTGGCCACCAACTCCGTCATCATCCACAAACTGAAGCAGCGCGGACGCTCCGGGAGACGCCGGCTGCACCGGGGCAAAACCACAGCCCTCCTCCTGGCCATCACCACTGTCTTCATCGTGCTCTGGGCTCCCCGCACCGCTGTCATGATGTGCCACCTCTACGTGGCCTCGGTCAAGCAGGACTGGCGCGTGCACCTGGCCCTGGACATCGCCAACATGGTGGCCATGCTCAACACCACCCTCAACTTCTTCCTCTACTGCTTTGTCAGCGAGACGTTCCGCCGCGCCGTGAGCGAGGTGCTCTGTGGCCACACGTGGCATGGCCCCCGCCACAGCGGCGCCCGCTTTGTGCCCCCAGCCCCGAGCCCACTGCAGCTGCTGGGCACGGTGTGCTCAGCAGGGTGCTGCCACCAGCCGGGGGTCTCGGTGCTCACCCAGCACCCAGTGGGACGACACCTCAGGGATGCTGCCCCGCTGTGCCCACACCCACAGAGCTGCAGTGCTGGAGGTGGTGGGAGCTCACAGCTGCTCTCCAGCTCCAACAACGCAGCAAACCTGCGCCCAGGGCTGGGCCCAGTTGAGCTCTGCAGCCCCGGGGAAGAGGCAATGTGATGGGGTTGAACTCTCCTGCATAAACTCCAATGTTTGGTCTGTAATGCTGCGTGGCTCCGTCTGAGTCCCTCTGCTCAGCCTGGTGCCCTCGGGGTGCTGCAGTTCTGTGTGACCCGGCTCCCCGTGTCCCCACTGCGCGGCACGCACACAGCTCAGAGCCACGCTCTCACTTACACCACCACACTGCTGCAGTGCTGAGCAGCCGGGGCCGTGCCAGCCTGCCTGTCCCCAGCTGCCACCAGAGGGCAGGGACAGGACGCCCAGCAGAGCTGGCACAGGCAGCAGCAGGGAGCTGGCACCCTATGACCCGTGGGAGCAGCCGGGTCCGGAGCAACAGCCCTGCCTGCCCCACTTTCCATCCTAATTCTCGCATAAGGTCCTTACTATAATCCCCCCCCAAACAGAGCGGCCTTTCCACCGTAATTCCTCATAAACCAGCACCCATGGAGCTGCCCCAGTGCTGGGGGCTCAGCTGGCCCTGGAATATTTGGGCTGCCCCAAGCAGGGCACAGAGAGCAACCCAGTGCTCTGCGCCCACCAGGCTGAGCCCAGCACTGGGGTGGCATGGGGCACAGGAGGATGCCCACCTACCTTTGCCCCCACTGCACAGAAGATGAGCCCAGGATGACCTCATGATGTGGGGCTGACCCACACGGGTACAGGCACACATCCAGAGCAATGTTCCTCACACTCTGCAGCCTTGGGCACAATGCTGACCCCTGCATTACACCGGGGGAGTCCGGCCCCCACTGCCCTGCTCTCACCAACAGGGTTCAGCCCCAGCCTCGCTGGGGTGGGTGGTAGCCAGGAGGTGCTCGCTCCATTAATTCTGGCATTTCAGGAGAGAAGGACTGGGGCCGGATTAGACATTAACCCGGCGGTGAGCACCTCCTGCCGCCCCACACCCTCCTGCAGGATTTCCCACCCCATAACCCGGCCAGGGGCCGCACTGTGGGGCTGTGGGGGGCACAAGGGCCTGGCTGGGAAGGGCAGCACTGAACCCAAGCGCCGTGCGGAGGCCAGGGCTGCCGCCAGCCCCCCCTCGCCCGGCGCTTATTTACTTGGAGAGGGAGGTGGAAACGTGCAAACCGCGTCCGCCTGCAGAGAGGGGCTCCTTTCTGGACAGAACCAGCTCAGATGGAAAACAGCTCTCCAGCCCCAGCGTAAACAGAGGTGGCGGGCAGGGTGAGCACGTGGCCCCCCCTCGGCCCCCAGGTACGGCCCTCACCTTCGCCAAGGTGAGCTGGGGCTCGGCCGCCGTGCTGCCGTCAGCTCGGCCCTGCGGCTCTGCAGAGAGGTAAGCCTGGAAAAAATGCGCCCGGCGTGCCCATGTTTTCGGAACGGGCCCGCTCCTGTCCTGCTCAGAAGCCTGGCTCTGATTCCTGGCTGTGCCGAGCGCTGTGGGGCTGGGAGACATCCGGCAGTGCTGCCTTGGAGGGCTCAGCCCCCAGCACAGCAGGGCACCAGGGCTGGGCTCTGCCCTCGCTCACACCGTGCCAGGCACCGAACGCCCCAGCCTTACAGCTGTATCGCACCCGGCTTACCCCACAGAGGGGTGTTGCTGTGGGTTTTGTAGGAGCTACAAAAACACCTCCTGAGAAACAGCAGGGGTGCGCAGCGTGGGTTGGACCAGCCGGTGTGGGAGCGTGTGGGCTCCACGGAGCAGCCACCGTGGGATGGGAGCCGGTGGGGACGGGGGGCTGCGGGGCCGGGGCTGCTCTGTGCAGCGGAAGGAAGCACTGCAGGAAGCCGCGTGCAGCTCGGCCTCTGTGCAGCCCGGCGCTGGGGCAGCGGAGGCGGTGGGGAAGCGGGGCCTCGCTCCTAGGCAGAACTCGACTTCCTGGGGAAACTGAGGCACGCGGGGTCATGGCAGGAGGCGGGGAGGCAGCGGAGCCCCTCTGCAGGGCGCTCAGCGCTGCTCAGTGCTTGTGTGAATGCACACACGTGTGTGTTCCCAGCGGGGAGGGACGATCCTGCCCCAGTGCGGCGCTGGGAGCCAGGCGGAGGCAGGCAGACGGTGGCTGTGGGTGCTGCTGCTCCCCGTGCAGTGGTGTCACCGGCTCCAGCTCCTCGGGTTGTTTTCATACCATCCCGGGCTGGGGGAGGACCCGCCGGCGGCACGGTGAACTTTCGGCTGCATCCTTTACCGTCTTGCTTCACCCTCCCAAAATAGCAGGGCCCGCCTGGAAACCTCCTCCGGGACTGGCAGAGCAATGGGTGCCCTGAGCCTCAAGGGGCTCTTCCCCATTCCTGAGCCCCAAGGATGGGGTGGCTGTGGGTGCCATGGCCGAGACACGGGTGCAGCCTCGCTGCTGGGACCACCGAGCCCCGAGCCCCCGCAGGAAAGGCTCACCCAAAAGCGGTGCCAAGGGCTCAGCCGTCAGCTGACATTCCTCCGGGAGGCCCCTCGGGCCCCCGCCCGGGGCTGCTCGGCTGCGGTTACAGATCGGTGTGATGCTGCTTCGGCACGGCATGCTGCGTCCCCGGCACCCGACTGTGCTGAGACCCCACCAACTCATTACACCGGTGCTCGAATTCGCTCCGTGCTCGCTTCCACCCGGCGCTCGGTCCTTCCGTTTTGGGAGACGGTCCCCATTCCTCTCCACCTGCTCCCCCGCTCCCGTGCTGCGGGTGTTCGGTGCGGTGGGGCAGGTCCCGGCCGGCACCGGGCGCGCTCCCCGGGCAGCGGCCGCACCTCGGGGAGGGGCCGGGCAGGCGCGCGCGGTGCCGTGGGCTCGGGGCTCGCCGGCACGGCACGGCACGGCACGGCACGGCACGGCACGGCACGGCACGGCGGAGCGACGGGACACGGGGCGCTGGAGCCGGTGAGCCGGGCTGGAGGACACCGGGACCGGGAACAAGAAGGAGAAGGACACCGGGAACGGTGGAGAGCCGTGCGCCCCACGGGCTCTCCTGGACGGAAAGTCGGGAGTGCTCCGGGGACCAGCCCGAGCCGGGGGTGTGGGGGAACCCGTCGGTGCCGCTGGGAGGGATGGCGGAATCCCGTCCCTTGGTGTCCCTATCCGCCGCGAGCCGGGGGCGACAGGGAATGAGTCCCCCGGTGTCCTCACCGCGGACGGGAGGTCCCGGCCCGGGGGGGCTCCGCGGAGCCTGGACACCGCTGTTTGCGGGGCCCCGGGAGGGCAGTGGGTTGGCGGCCTTCGGGTCCCCTAGGGCGGGGGTTTTGGCAGCGGAGGCAGTGAGTTAGGGGCTGGAACACCCCCCTGTTTCAGCCCCGGAGTGACCTTGTTGCTGTTTTCTTGCCCGGTTTCCTCCCAGAGGGGAGTGCAGGGGCTGCAGCTCGCCCCCCTCCTTCCTCATTCCCTGCTACCGGCACTCTGCGCTCCCTGGGGCTGGGAGTGGGAACAGACCCGTACCCACAGGGCAACGCCGTGCTGTGCCATGCCGTGCCACACTGTGCCATGTCGTGCCACGCTGTGCCATGCCAGGCTGCGGCTGCCTGTGACCAGGAGCGCTGGTGTGCACGGTCAGACACGAGACCCATGGTGGGTCAGTGCCCGGAGCCACAGGAGGGAAGTGGGCCAGGAGAAGCAAAAAGGGGAACGAGCTGGCGTGCAGAGCTGTGCTAGCATGCAGCCCCAAGCATCTCCAAGTGTTAGCTCTGCTTCCCAGCCCAGACCCGTGCTTGATTCCTCCAGGAGGCCCACAGGCACAGTACTGCATCCAGGCAAGGAGGTGACAGGAGATGCATGTCTGCCTGCTCTAATCTGGAGCCGCTTTGGGCTGTGGTGGGGTGGGTTCACCAGGAGCTGCTCACTTGCCACAGAGATGCTCCCGCACCTGCAGACAGCACAGGCAGCACCAGCTCCTGCTCCCGGCTCTGTAACGCTTCTCTTCCCCACAGGGTTCGTGGATCCCCGCTTGGCACCCACCTGCCGTGCAGGATGGGTGCTGCAGTGCCAGCAGCTGCCTGCATCCTGCTGGCTCTGCTGCCTGTGGGCCGTGCCCAGAGCACCCCTCCATCAGGATGCAGTCAGGACCTCTCCTCGCTCTATTACAACCTCTGTGACCTGTCAGCAGCATGGGGCATCGTGCTGGAGGCCGCGGCCAGCCTGGGTGCCGTGACCAGCTTCGTGCTCACCATCGTGCTGGTGGCCAGCCTGCCCTTTGTGGAGGACTCCCAGAAGAAGAGCCTGGTGGCCACGCAGGCCTTCTTCTTGCTGGGCACCTTCGGGCTCTTCTGCCTGACGTTTGACTTCATCGTGGGGCCAGATTTCTCCACCTGCACCTCTCGCCGCTTTCTCTTCGGTGTCCTCTTCGCACTCTGCTTCTCCTGCCTGCTGGCACACGCCGTGGCCCTCAACTTTTTGGCGCGGAGGAACCGTGGCCCGCGAGGCTGGGTGACGCTGGCGGTGGCTCTGCTCCTGGCGCTGGTGGAGGTCATCATCAACGCCGAGTGGCTCATCATCACGGTGGCCCGGCAGGAGGGCGGACCCACGGACCCCTGCGGGCTGGCGGATGCTGATTTCGTCATGGCGCTCATCTATGTCATGGTGCTGCTGGTGGCTGCCTTTGGCACTGCCTGGCCGGCCCTCTGCGGCCGCTACACGCGCTGGAGGAAGCATGGCGCCTTCATCTTGGCCACCTCCGGGCTCTCCATGGCCATTTGGGTGGCATGGACGGCCATGTACCTCTACGGGAACCAGCACGTGGGCAAGAAGCCCGGTTGGGATGACCCCACGTTGGCCATCGCTTTGGTGTCCAACGCCTACGCCTTCATCCTCCTCTACGTCATCCCCGAGGTGACGCACGTGACGCGGCGCAGTTCTGAGCAAGGCTACGAGGACGACGTGTACCCCACGCGTGGGGTGGGCTACGAGACCATCCTGAAGGAGCAGAAGTCGCAGAGCATGTTTGTAGAAAACAAAGCCTTCTCCATGGATGAGCCTTCCTTCGGTAGGCACCGGGCTGCGGGGTCGGCACAGCACGGCACAGCGAGACGTCTGCTGCCACGACCCACCCAGCGGCCGGGAGCCGTGCCCGCATTGTTGTGGCTCCCGAAAACACGCCGGGCTGGGTGTA